TTGGCGGTACCCCTCGCTAACAATAGAAAATTTTCCAGGTTATCAAGTGTGCTGAATACGAAAAAGCACTTTGCTTTAACTCTAAATGAACTTCAATTTTTTGTCGGTGATATGTATTCATTTGTTTATAGAGAGTTAGTAGTAAAATAAAAATGCAATCTGTTCAATAATATAAAGGGTTTTGAATGGTATCAAATATCTACGGCGTGCCGAGGCGTTTAATAATAGGAACGCTTTCAGACGCTGTTGTAACCTGTTTCAAAACAGCGTTCAAACGTCTGTTGAGACCAAAACGTCTTAAAACGCGTTCAATACTTCAGACGCGTTCGAAGTATCAAATATACGCAGCGTGCCGAGGCGTTTAATAATAGGAACGCTTTCAGACGCTGTTGTAACCTGTTTCAAAACGGCGTTCAAACGTCTGTTGAGACCAAAACGCCTTAAAACGCGTTCAAAGTACTGAGTATCTTCGGCGTTTAAACGCCTTTAATAATCAAACGGTTTCAAATGTTTCAACGCACATTTATCGAAAATTTTTCAGAAAACAAGCGTTCAAACGCAAACGGATACATGGGTCTGCGAGAAACACATGTAGATAAGTCTCTGAATGGTTTTTCACCATATCAATCCTGATTCTTGTTTTGGAAATCTTCTTTTTGCTTTAATTTGTTATTGGGTTTTACCTTATCATTATCGAAATTGAAATCAGTTCACTGGCAATCTCTTGTATCCTGTTGTGTATTAAGTGGTTCTCTTTTCTTCTGTGGTTTGTTCTGAGATGTGTTTGTTAACACTTGCTGCTTGGACAACATTATATGATGTATTTATTAGCCTGTCACTAAGCGTTGTGCTGTACTGTTCGTCGGCAAAAAAATTGTCTTAGAAATGGAGCTATGCTCTGCTCTGCCTTAGGAATCTTGAGACCTAGTTGTGTCCTGTCTTCAAAAGAGTAGAGTAGGGCAAGGTCAACCTGTAGAATGTTGCACATTAGTCCAACTCGAAGCTTGAGTAGACTAATAGCCCAGCTTAATGAACTTTATATTTTTTCACGCTGATATGACAGAGATTAAAAGAAAATAAACAAATATTCGTATATTATAAGGGAAAAGACCCACGAAGTCTGCTACATGAATTCAAACGTTTAGAAACCCGAGTTCAGATATCACCCACAGCTCAACAGAAAATGTTTTGTTATACATTGGCCTATAGGACTAATGTGTACGGTCAAAGAGAACGTTTCTACATGCCATCTCTCAAAACGTCTACGACTCTTGAATAGAAACCAACAGAATCAAGAACTCAAACTTGAGAACTATTCCACATCCTCATTGGAACACTGATTACAAATTTCACACATCACAATAAATATTCAGTCAACGATACTGTATACACGCTCGAAACTCGTATGAAACGCAACCCGCTGTTAATGCACCTTTACGTAATAAGGATGGGACATCATATGAAAAATTTTTCACTGCACTTAAATTACATACTGAACGAAATCTTATACCACTTCATTCTCAGTCTGCCGTGATTGATTCTGAGGTAGCTGCACTAGATGAATTCAATGGACAGTTTCTAAGTGTGACTCTTATAGAATGTCAATTGATTATGTTCACAATACATATGACGAAAATTTCAAAAATATGGATTAGTTAAAATTGTAAAAGAACAAGCGGTACGACGAGAAACGATGAATATATTGGGATTGCTATTTCTATCCCTAACTTGAACTTGAACTTGAACTTTATTTCATGTGTAGAAAATAATCTTGCAGAAAATAATATACACGTAGGTAAGTACAGAAAGCCGGGGGCTTGTAAAAGAGAATCACCTGTACGGGAAAGAGGAAAACATCCGTTGAAGGAGAGGAGTAAAGAAAAAAACACACAAAAAGGCAGCAACAACAATAACAAAATTATTGTCTTAGGACGAAACATGGTCAAAATAGTACGACAACTACAAAAAAGAATACCTATGGTAATAATGTAGATAAAAAGATTACTCATCTGCGCAGATGTACTCGTATTGCTGTTTTGAAAGAAGAGAATGTTCTAGAGATTACCACTTGTTCTAGCAGAGAGTTTCAACCGACTGCTCTTCGACAAAAGAAGAATGAGACAACAAGTTCTTTGGGAACTGTCGGAGTTTCAACCTGCATAGTATTCTGTCAATCAACGTGAAGTCGATCTGATCTTCGATCAGTTACCGATTTTATAAAATGAAGAGTGAAAGTGAAGAGAAGAGAGATGGCATTTTTTACGTTAAAGAAATGTGGTAGCCTAATATATTTCCTTAAATTTGGCAGCTTTAGTTTATTACCAAAGATGTTGCAGATCGATCGAATTTCTTACGTACCATTTGTGCCGCTAATCTGGCGATTTTTCGAGCTCGATTCCTTACCATTTACTATTATAGACAATGCTACCATAGTTTAGTTTACTTGAAATACCTGATTTAAAAATCGCTATCCGACTTTTTACTGGCGCTTCTCTAAAAGTCCGAAACATTGCTCCCAGATGCCTTTCGCATGCATGCTCCTCCCATGATAAATTTGAGCTTACTCAGACTTCAATAATCACTACTAACATTTCTCGCTTAATGACGATTCATTGATAATAAAACTGAAATGCTCTACTACAAACTGCTGGTGATTTGTAAAGTATAGTCACGCACACTTTGAGTAGTTTAATGTCATGAGATTTTATTGATACCAACTCTCTATTTTGTCTATAAGAGATTGGTAGTCCGCTGGAGAGCACAGAGAGCTCATCAGACATAACAATGAGTAGTCGTCAACAGACAGAATGGATAGACCTGGTAACGCTGTTGTCATCGAAAGATCATTTATAAAGATAAGAAACAGTAACGGTCTCAAAATAGAATTCTGTGACTTGAGATGGAACCCTCGCTATCTTTAAAAAAGCTTCACCTATCCGAACCCTTTCCTTACGACCTGACAGATACCTCTCGAACCATTTATATGGTGCTCCCTTCACATCCAACAAAAGAAAGTTTCATGAGCAAGATTTGGTGAGGAACAAACACCACCGAAAGCTTTCTCAAAATCAAACAGTACCATAATTGAATCGATTCCATTTTCTAAATTTTATTAATGTTTTTTGAGCTAAAAAGAGAAAACCATCTGCCGTGAAATAATTTTTGCAAAAACCGAACTGAAACTTCGGAAAAGAAGTGATATTTATCTAAAATAAGATATCGTTCAATACGAGTTTCAAGCATGTATACAGTACCATTGACTGAATATTTTTTGTGATGTGTGAAATTTGTAATCAATGTTCCAATGAGGCTGTGCAATGGTTCTCGAGTTGGATTCTATTTTGGGATCGTTACTGTTGTTTACCTTTATAAATGATCTTCCGATGGCAACAGCGTTACCAGGCCTATCCATTCTTCTGTCGATGACTAAACCAAGTCAATATAACTAGTTACATCGATTTTATTTTATTTTATTGTGAATTCTTGAAAAGAATTGATAACCAGTTCCCGTTCAACAGGAACTGAACTGGTGATCAGTTCTTGGGAACTATAGGAACTGGAACTGTCCCACCCCTATGCACGTTAGTCCTATAGGTCAAATGTATAACAAAACACTTTCTGTTGAGCTATGGATGATATCTGTATTCGGATTCGTAAGCGTTTGAATTCATGTGGCACGCTTCGTGGATCTTTTTCCTTATACTAATATTTGTTCGTTCTCTTTTAATGTCTCTCATATCAACATGAAAAAGAAAAGAAAGTTCATTTAGATTCATGAGAAAGTGCTTTTCGTATTTAGCACACTCGATAACGCAGAAGATTTTCTATTTTTAGTGAGGAATACTGCCAAAAGTTTGAGAAAAATTTTGAAACTGGTATAATTTTTCCATGGAAATTTGTTTTTCACCATTTATTTTCTGTCGGTAATATACTTGCATTTCTGATTCTGATTCAAACTTCAACGTATACAAAAAGCTGGTATTAAAATTCGTTTCGTTTCTTACCAATGCTTCTCTACTCGTGAACTTTATATGCGTGCTCCTTGTCGTCTAATGTAAGATTTTATTGTTGATTTATCTTGTTCATTTACTTTGTACAATTTTCTTACAAAATGATTATTGTCAAATCCCCATTTTTTGCCAATCTCTTTTTTATGAAGAAAAATATGACACACATGTACCACGTTTAAGTTTAAACATCATCAAAACTATTTCGAATAAATTCTTACATTTATGATACTTCTTCCTTATCTTTCTTTCTATTGTCTTTTCTTCTCTTTCTTTTCTCTAAACTGTACTTACAGAGTTGTGTCTTTTACCTGTTTTGTTTTCTCCGTTTTTTTATACTATTATAAAAACGGGCATGTATTCCGCAATAAATCATACGTTACATTGCATAATACGTGTAACCTTAGTACTGAAGACAAAGGAAGATTATACGATAGTTCAATATACACGAAACGAAAATAAGAAAAATCATGAGAACACATGAATATCTTATCTTAATCAATCGAATGCAGAGTTCTTATCTTCTCATTATTTGTTATGTGTGACCTTCAACAATATCATTGCCAGGCACATTTTTTAAGAAGTTTCTTAGACAATTAAATGAATACCTTTACCCATTATAGGCTTTATTTCCTTGAGACAAAACCAACAGACAACTCTACATAAATCTTAGCTATCTGCCATCGAAGCTCTTTATTTCATATCACATTACAGCGATATTATTTTGATAGAATATTCTTTTTATAGTTTTAATTTAAAAGAAAGCAAAAAATGCTTTAAGCTTTTTCTCTCGTATTGACGTACTTCAAACTTGAGGTGAGAGAAATTTTTTTTTTTTGTGTCTGACCCATCTCAACTTGCTGAAACTAGATTAACTGGATCAAATTAGTAGTTTAAGCCGGATGCGCGATTTTTTTCTGCTTCGGATAAGAATAATAATGTACAACTAACTATAAAAATTATTAATTAGATCAATTTATAGTGAGATAACTGATGGCAAATAATACGCCATTGACGAGCGATTTTTATTGGGCATGTCATGAGGGTGAAGTAGACAAAGTAAAGAACTATATGAAGAACTTAACTACAGAGCAACTCAATAAAATCGAGCCTAACGGGTCAACAGCTCTACATGCTGCATCTTTTTACGGTAATGAACAAATTGTTCGACTCTTATTAGAAAAGGGTGTCTCTCGATCTATAAGAAACAGATATAGTCTAACAGCTTATGAAGAAGCGAGTACTGACGAGGTAAAAAAATTATTTCAACGTCAAAGTGCTACAGACAGATTCGTTGGTGGAATGCAAGGAGAACAAATTGAATGGATGAAAGTGGATTCAGAAATTAAGAAAAAAGCAGCTGACCAACGTAAATTGCATAACCAGGAGTGGGATAAACTGAACATTTGTGGACATGTGAAATATATACGCGAAAAATATATAAATAAAAGCCTGCAGAATATAGATGGTATTGATCTAATTAACTATTACTATATTAAAGCGTATGAAGATAATGATCCTGTTCAGGTACTTACTGCATACACAGCTGAAACTGATTATTACAAAGTGTTAAATCACCAATTAGCGGTAGTACATGAAGACAGTTGGTCAGATGGACTCGAGAATCGGTTTGGAAGAAATAAAATTTTGACTATCATGACTTCGCATCCATCTCTCAGTTGTTTTACGTTTTTTGGTTTTACTTATCGTGGTATGCGAGTGACAGAAACTAATTTAAGTCAATATGTGGTTGGTACTCAGCTTATGAATAAAGCATTTTTATCAACTTCAAAAGATCGACAAATTGCGGAAAGTTTCGCTAAACAAGTAGAAGAAACAAATGATGGAAAGATAGGAGCTTTATGCTCTTATGACATTCGAAATAATCGTAGTGGTATTGACATGGAATCAATAAGAAGCTGTTCGAAAATCAAGTGACTAAAAAGATGTTTCCATCAGAAGCCTATCACGTTAGCAATGATAGTTAGAACTTGGTAGAAACAATATAATTAATCATCGGTGCCCTATATATATGGTGTATCTCTAAAGTCCTCAGCCACCAACTGACTCTGTCTTTTTTTCTCCAGAACTAACCGCGATAAACAAATCCGATGTCACATTCGAACTCAGCGAACCGATTCTTACCAAACAAAAATATTCTTGGAAAGCCTGGAAATGCACAGAAACGCATCGCAATTTGCCGAGGAACTAAATTTTTCAAAACGCTCTTTGAAAACCATGATTTCAAGAATATGATGTATATCTACAATTTATTACTATTCATCATTATCATTGATTTCAATTACTGAGAGCTATAGAACGAATATTGATATAAGCTTTATTCTGCCAGAATACAAGCGGAAAAATATTTCATTATGGTATTCTAAACTAAAACTATCGAAAAACACAAAATCAATTTGTACGAATATAACAAATATTTCTCACGAGGAAACATATCCAACTGTTACCTCGCTTTTTCAGCCAAACTCGGTGGGTTATAGCTAATCGACCGCGCTGATCCCGAATATGAACATGAGAGCTTCCACTAGGCCTTCAAAGATCCGATTTTCTGGAAAACCAGTTTTTAAGAAACTCTAAAAGAGAACCAAAACCTTTCTTAATGTGACATAATTACAGCGCACACATTTGTGACTAAAACGAGACCTCTCCCAGCTCTACATGACCTTTCTTTGCAAAGTTATAGAAGTTACAAGAAAAGCCCTAAATGTTAATTGCCAGCTCAAAGCTACAAAAATAAGAAATTAATTTAAGGCATCTCTTGTAACTTCTATAACTTTGCAAAGAAAGGTCATGTAGAGCTGGGAGAGGTCTCGTTTTAGTCACAAATGTGTGCGC